ATTTCATTACACAAAACTGGGCCATGTACCTCTCTGAGCTCCAGGCTCCACATATAAAAACAGACATAGTATTACTTGCCCATGTCACAGGACTGCTGGGGGACTCCACCAGGACAACAGAGGCAAAGCTCTGATGTAAACTCTTTGCAATTATAAGAAGAGGTCCTTATGTCACCCAGTTTAGGACAGTGGTTTAGAGTAGAGGCATTCAGATCCCTCGAGTCCGACTCCTGTCTTTGCCCCATATGGAAGTGGGACAAGTTTCTTAAACCTCTGTGCCTGGGTTCCCTATGTGGGGAAGAATAAATTAACAGATGGAAGCACCCTGAACAGTCCAGTCAGAGACTGCTCCGGTCCTTGGCACCATCCTGTACTCTGTGGGTTTCAACAGTGTGGTGAAACAAGGAAGGAGACCAGCCATCCAGCCAGAGTATGATCCTCTGGCAGAGACCCTCTATCCCACGCCTGGACACCCATGCCACCTGCTGGCCTTGAAGCCCAGGGATGCGGGAGGACAATGAGGACAAACGAAATGTGCTGAGTGGAGCTGATAACGTAAAGGAAGAAGGGAATGATAAGGAAATGTCCTGGGGAGATGAGGGTGGTCAAGTGGTAAGACAGTCTGAGGGTCTGCAGGAAGGCCAGCTTGTCAGATTATCTCTGTGCGCTGACTTCTCTTTGCTCCCCAGGGCCTCTACCCACTGCCCTTGCTCAACAGCACCCTGGATGATGGGAAGGCCACCCTGACCCCTTCCAACACGCCCTTGGGGCGCAACCTCTCGACTCACCAGACCTACCCCGTGGTGGCAGGTATGACGCCCGGAGTCTCCCTGGCCAGGTGGAGGGCGGGAGACGGTAGAGCTTGGCTGGCTGGCAGGTGAAAGGCATGTGGGGCCTGGCCTGGAGAGGAGAGGTGGGCTGTGCTGGCTGGGTCTCAAGGTGGTTCAAGGGGTTGTGCTTCCAGCCCTAGGCCTCTCCGGGGTCTCCACACTCCCTCCTGTGGGAGAGGCGGGTACACACACTCCTTCCCAGTCTCCCCATTTCACAGTAGAAGCACAGCAGGGAGGTCGAGCTTCTCTCTTCCCTCCTCACCACCCCTCATGGGCCCTGGCTCCCCAGCCCAGACTCTGACAGCAGCTGGGCCTGCCTGCCCGGTGCCCCGCCTGCACCCTCCACATCTCATGGCTTGGTTTGTGCATGTTCCCACCCCGTCATCTCACACCCCTCTCTCCTTGTTGTCTCCCTCCCTCCGGCAGATCCTCATTCACCCTTCGCCATAAAGCAGGAAACCCCCGAGGTGTCCAGTTCTAGCTCCACCCCTTCCTCTTTATCTAGCTCCGCATTTTTGGATCTGCAGCAAGTCGGCTCCGGGGTCCCAGCCGGTGCCTCGGTCCCGCCCTTCAATGCCTTTCCCCATGCTGCCTCCGTGTACGGGCAGTTCACGGGCCAGGCCCTCCTCTCAGGTACGACAGGGAGGTCCCGGGGTCATGCAGGCATTGCGGTGGGTGGGAGGAGGGTCCTCAGGGCCGACCGCCAGCCCCCTCTCTGGCCCCGATCATGTCCACCACCACCACCCTATTCCCTAATTACTCCACAACTTTTGGAGATGCCAACGTGAGGTTCTCCGTGACTGCGAAGACATACTCGGAAGGGGTGGATGCTCTGGGGGTGCCAGGAAGTGGGATACACCACCCCAAAACCCCACGGAAGAGCAGGGACCCTAAGGCCGGGAGCCAGGTGCTGTAACACAGGGACACTTGGTCTTGGTAAATACATAAATAAATGGAAGGAAAAATGAACATTTTGGAGGGAAAAAGGCTTTGGCTTTGGAGCCAGTTTCTGGATCAAATTTCTAAAAAGGCCAAGGGTCAGTCCCAGCTGTGTTTCTACAATGTAACTATCTTCTTATCTAGCTTAACAGTGTCACCGGGATGACAGTCAGACATCTGTTAAATAGGATCAATTCAGTGATTCTGCAACTTGGGAGTGGAGGGGTGGCAGACTTCCCACCAGGAACCTCAACTGCCTCAAAATATTTAAAGCTGGAAGCACCGGCTGGGCGTGGGGGTTCATGCCTGTAATCCCAGAACTTTGGAAGGCTGAGGCAGGTGAATCACGCGGTCAAGAGTTCAAGACCAGCCTGGCCAAGACAGTGAAGCCCCGTCTCTACTAAAATACAAAAAGTTATCAGGGTGTGGTCGCAGGCAACAGTAATACCAGCTACTGGGGAGGCTGAGGCAGGAAAATTGCTTGAACCCAGGAGGCAAAGGTTGTGATGAGCCAAGGTCACACCATTGCACTCCAGCCTAGGTAACAGAGCAAGACTCCACCTCAAAAAATAAAAACATACAAATAAATAAAGCTGGAAGCACCTGAGGGAGTCTCTAGAGGAAACCTCTTATGCTGAGGAGGAAACCAGCCCAGGGAGGAAAAGGTCCCTGCCAAGGCCTCTGGGGGGAAGCACCATGTGCAGTTGGCCGAGGCCTGGGCCTGCACTCCATAAGTCAGACCTCAGGGGAGCTGAGACCCCCTGGCAGAAGGACCTTTGCTCATCCAGCCAGGGCCTGAGGAATGGCTGAGAGTCAAGTGCTTGGCTTGGGCTAGAGAGGGCCTGAGATGCAGTGAAAGTGGGAAGTAGGGACCCATATGGTCTTCAGATACCTCAAGGGCTTCCACAGGGATAGAACTATTTTATTTGTGGGCCCAGTGGGGGCCCAGGACCAAGGGAGAAAGCTGGCTAGCTCTCAGTTCAGCTTTGGAGGAATCTCTTTAATATTGGCATTGTCTCCAAGGAGTGTGGTTATTTAGTGACAGAGTAAATGCCTCCTTACCTCCCACAACCCCTTGCCCCAACAACCTTGAGATGCTGCAGCAGAGACCAGTGTGGGGGTGGGGTGTAGGAGACCTGTCACAGAGGCAGCCCAGAGTCAGTCTATCTGGACCAGTGGTTTCAAACCTGGGCCTCTCAATGATCTCTTGAAATGAAGCCTTTTATAGAAGCCACGTATCCCCACCAGACCCCTGAAGAATTCTCTTTTTGAAGGGGACCCCTGCCCCTAGAAGGCCTTTGAACTTGAAAACCACTGCTCCAGAAGAGCAAGACCTCTGCCAGCCCAGAGAAACCACAGGATCATGTGATACAAGTCCATGGACCCTTTTTTTGTAACTGGCTCTACATTTTCTGTCTGGCTGGCCCCTGGGTTGTTTTTTTCTTTTCTTTCCTCTGTGCATCCCTGCACCTAATGTGAGCAGTTTCCTTAGAAGAGAGCTGGAAACCTAGTATGCGGGCAGAGAGATGGTGTTTAAGGGTCTAAAGCAAGGAAGAAAATGGTGACTCAGAGTTCAGGAATTCAAGAGGGTGAAGTCAGCAGAGATGGGTCATTTGTTTTGACCAAAGTGATTAAAGGAGAAAAATCTGTGAGCTGAGTAAAATTATGTCAGCCAGAAAATGGGAATGGGGGAGGGAAGGGGAAAAAGAGGGAAGGGGAGGGGAGGGGAGGAGGTGAGCAGAAGAGGTTCACATCAGCTACAGGGAGATACACAAGCCTGGATGTCTCCTGAGAATGGTGGGCCAGGGCTCGGGATGGTTGTGGAGCAGGCAGGGGGTGAGGGTGTGGTGGTACCCATGATGATGGGGAGCAGTTGCTGTGCAAGTCACAGAGAGGCTTGGCAGGGCCAGCTGAAGGAGAGGGAAGGATGTAGGGCAGCTGGAAGGAAGTGGATAGAAGCAGAGTGCAGACATAGGCTGTTGTCTAAAGTGTAATTGGAACAGCCCAGGGCAAACTCCCTGCTCCCAAAGCCCTCACACTTTGTCCCTCCCTGTCATCCTGTTAGCGCTATAAGCATCCCCTGTCAACATGCAGTCAATCAGAGGTGATGCTTCCAACTACTGTCAGCTGTTAATGTAGTAGCCATACCCACTCTCCAGGCCAACTGCTGGACTGAGAGGTCACCCAGTCCATGGGACAGAGCAGCTGGGAGCAGACACCTGGTGGTCATTGAGGCAGCAGGCAGCCAAATCTGCAGCACCAGCATATCCATCAGGCAGGTGGCCCTCAATCCAGGCCCAGATGATGCTGAAGTGCGTATGTGAGCACTTCAAAGCTTGCCGGCTGGTCACAGAGCCCACTAGCCCAAGGATTGAGAATTCAACACAGAGACAGCAGCTCTGAAAAGAGTGAGGAGTGCTAGGCTTGTAGGAACTGGGATCCAGGCAGATGGGCAAGAGTAGGAAGCAAGTCAGAAAGTGGATCAGGCACGAGCCAGGGGGATGGCTGGTGCCCATGCTGAGCTCAGGGTGTTGGCCTGGAGCTGCTTACAGACTGTCCACCTGAGGCCTCTGGTAAAGACTGGACCTCAATATCTAATATGTGGCTCAGCCATGGCGGAAGGACTGGGAGGACATGACGGGGTGGGAGAAGGTAGGAAGGGAATGGTTCCAAGAGCACAGGAGGCTGAAGACCTACTCAAGGAAAGAAGAGGTGAATTTGAAAGAAAGAGAAGGAGGTAATCCCAGTACTTTTGGAGGCCAAGTTGGGTGAATCATTTGAGGTCAGGAGTTCAAGACCAGCCTGACCAACATGAAGAAACCTCATGTCTACTAAAAATACAGAATTAGTTGGGTGTGGTGGCGCATGCCTGTAATCCCAGGTACTCGGGAGATGGAGGCAGGAGAATTGCTTGAACCCGGGAGGTGGAGGTTGTGGTGAGCTAAGATTGCTCCATTGCACTCTAGCCTGGGCAACAAGAGTGAAACTCCATCTCAAAAGAAAGAAAAAAGGAAAAAGAAAGAAAGAGAGAAAGGGAGAAAGGGAGGGACGAAGGAAGGCAGGCAAGCAGAGGCCACAATATTCCTAGGTAACACTGCAGACCAGGGGAGAGGAGGGAGGACCCAGTAAATTTTCGTCCCATAATCAACTCAATTTTAACCTTTGTGAACCTTCCACACCCTCTGAGTGACTCCCAAGGACCCTCGCTGCCATCTCCTGCAACTCCTTTACCTGCTTCACAGTTTCTCTCTGAGGCACTTCTTTCGGTCCCGTGGCTCTGACACTGTGGTGTCCAGAGTGACTATCCTTCTGGGTCTCAGCTTGTTCCCAGTCAGCCAAGAAAGAGGAAGTAGCAGCGTTTGGGGAATAGCAAGACTGCCACTATCATTGCTGCTAGTTCCCTTTAGAAACCGCAGTCTGGAGTCCTGACACACTGGCCAAGACAGCAATGTTGAGGCCATCCTGGTCCCAGCTGCTCTGGGACTGACTCCAGCTCAACTCAAAGGAAAGCTTTGAGTCAGGTTTTATCATCAAAGAGTCCATTCCCCTCCTCCATCCTTTTGTACAAAATTATATTTAGTACTGCCAAAGAGATTTCTGGATTGCCATAAATTCTCCTTGCTATCAGAACAAGATAAGGAATTGAAAAGGGGTTACATGGAGGGCAGACTTCAAAGGGGGTGAATAAAATAGTCTGAAATCACCTCTACCCTTTGAATTCCTCCAGGCAATAGCTTTCTGATCCTGGTCTCTACCAATACTTAGAATATTTACCAATATTTCCAGGGGTGGGGGCAGCTAGCGTTTTCTTAGAGAACCCCACTCCATAACCAGTCAACATGGGCCTGTGCTTTATGTCAACTTCTTAAAACTAGGACCACATTGGAAGGATACCTGGGTGTAGAGGAGATGGAATTCACAGCAAGGATAATTTTATGATGAAGAGACTTAAAAACAGAGAAGTAGATAAGTGGGCACGGTTAGGCCATATTGGAATGTTTCCACGTCATGGCTTCTGTGGTTTTGTTTCTAAGAAGGCTTGCAAGGCTCTTGGCTTTTTGGAAGAAACTGTGCATTTAAGCAATTGGAGCAAAGAATTTTGTAGGGCTGTTGGGAGAGTTTATGGTCCCACAGTCTGGGTGAGAGCCATCCTGAAGAAAGTCTTACCAGTCTTTCCAGGAAGACCAGCTTTCGTGGGAGGAAGCCTCAGGCGTCTGTTCTGATGTTTGATTCAGAAACCTCTACCTCACTGGGAAGACAATAGGTGACTGAGGGGAGATGAAGATTAAAATCTTAGAATACAAGGGAGTAAGACTGATGAATTCCATTTGTAAGAGCAACTTGGGGGCTAGTTCTCATGTGATGGAGCCTCATGGGGGCACCTTGGACCACATTCAGCTGTGTTGTAAGGAAGAATGTGCGCTGGAACTCTGCCTGCTACTCTGCTAGGCTCAGGTAGTGGAAAGGGAGGGGACAGGATGAGGTGGGGGGAGGGGAGCACAGGGCCACAGCTGCCAGGCCAGAAGCACCCTGCAGGGCACAAGGCCAGCACCAGCAAACGGGTCACCTGGGAGCCAAGACCACCTCCCACTGTTCCCCGCCCCCCGCCACGCCCACCTCATGGCAGACACAGGCTGCCTCAGAATCCTTCTCAACACCAGGTACCAGGAAGCCCCTACCTGTCAATCAAGTAGTCAGCTGAATCCAGTTTACAAGCTGAAATCTAAGCTAGTTCCTTATGTGACAGGCAGGAAGATGTGTTTCAGAGAATTAAGGGCTGTCCTTCATCCAGGGTCTGGCCTGGATCTAGAGTTCCCTTTCTCTTTCTCTCTCACAGAGGAGGAAGTAGGGAGGGAAGAGAAAAGAAGGAAACAGGCCTGAATCAGCCACCACCCTCTTCCATCACTCTCCCTTCACCACCTGTCCATGCTGTGTGCTCCTGCTCTCACAGACTTCCTATCACTCTTACCCTCTTGCCTAGCCAGTGCTTCATCTGAGAGCCAAGGGAGCTGAGTTTAAGGATCTATTGTGTTGTATTCTTCTTCACAGAAAGCTCAGATTTTGTCTCAGTATAGCTTCTGTATATTTCTCTGTCTACATCTGAATATCTTAAAATCCTCTTTTCCCCTCCTGTGTTTCCAATCCTTTATTTGTTCCCTTGATGGCCTTGTCAAGTGAACTGAGCCCACCTGTAGATTTCTAGTGAGTTTCACCCCATTTGGTCCCATGCCAAGCACAGCTGGACACTGCAGAAATAGTCAAACAAATTAGAAGGTGGTGTTCAGGCTTACCAAAACATTTGCACAGTTTTAAACAATAAACACTGATGGCTCTTTATTCTATAGGAGTTCATTGGCATATAACTATTTCTACAATGTGGCCATTACACTAATCCATGTCCACCTGTAGCATGAAACCCTAGCTCTGAATTCCATGGATAACCTCATAGAAATTATAGTAAGGTGCCTAAGCCCTCATTATTTTTTCCCATTTTGCATATGAAGAAACTGAGTCTTGGGGCACACATGAGCTTATCTAAGGGCACTCAGAAAACTAGCCACAGAAGCAGGATAAGAAACCCAGGCCCTCTGATTCCCAGGCCCTTCCCTCTAGAGGAAGGGCAGAAGTGTGCCTGTCTTGTTCCTTGACTCCTTGGGCTTTGGCTCCAAATGCCTATCCCAGTCTATGTCCCTTCTTGATTTGGTGCCTGGCCTTGCTAATTTAGCATTCTGACTTTCTGCCATATGAAGTGCTTAGAAAAGTGCCTAGAATGTAGTACTTACTCAATAAGTATTTGGTGAATGAACACTGTCTTTGGGGAATCCTCAGAAAGAGAGATAAGAAGGAGGTAATCACTGTAGAATTAGCAACTTGCAGGATTTCATGGGGCCTTCCCTTCTGTCATGACCAGGCAGCCCTTGAAGGGGCTGAAGTATGAAGGACTTGGGGGCTCTGATAGGCAGAAAGTTGAACAAGCAGTACCATAGAAGAGATGAATTTGGTAAGTTGGTTAACAGGGTCTCACATAAGTTCTGGGAGGAAAAAGTAGCCCCCAGAATGGAAGAGGTAGAAGGCATTTGGGGAAAACAGTCATAGTCCAACACAGTGGTTCTTAGCCAGGAGTGATTTTGCCCCTACTACCTCCTGCTGGGGACATACGGCAATGTCTGGAGACATTTTTGTTGTCACCCTGGGTGAAAACTGCTGCTGGTATCTACTGAACGGAGGCCAGAAATGCTGCTAAACATCGTGCAGTGCACAGGACAGCCTCCTACAGCGAGGAATTGTGCAGCCTAACGTGCCAATATCACTGAGACTGAGAAACTCTGTAAGCATCACCAAGAACTAGGATGAGCACATAATTCATTAACCCAACTGGAACATTTTGAAAGTGAAATGGGCATTATTAATAAATATGCTGGGATAGTGGTCATCACCTGGATACACCTTGGCAAACCAGGATATATTGTCACCTTGCCAAGAATCTTGGGGTGAAGGAGAGTCTGGGTGGGGCCTGCAGGACATAGGAGCAACAGAAGAGGGGCAGGGGCAAGGGATTATGTTTATGTTTGTTGTTATATATGGTAGATGGGGAGATGATCGCCAGGTCAGCTGGGGTCTCCAAAATGGGAAAGTGATTTCTCGATGTAGAGGAGACACAGAGCCAGGAAATGAGGTCTTTATAGAGCTGATTTGGTGTCACCAACGTGTGATTGTGACCCACAAGCTATAGATAAACAGAGAGATTGGTGTTTGTTTTGCCAAAAATGGTTAGTTTCAAAATAGAATTGACAGATATGTGGCTCATGGTCATGTAAAAGCTAAATATCTCAGCCACATTTCCTTCTAGGTCAGGGTTAGCCAATCGGTTTCCTGTCCCTTACAACTCTGACAGATTGCACCTACTTGTAAGGCCCCCTACTCAATGGGAAATGTTATAGGGGTTGATTAATAATGTCTGTCACAGGTCCTCCCCAAAATAGTGATGGGTCAGTGCGCCACATACATGCCATCCTTTCACAGAGTCTTGTCCTTAGTTCTCCTCAGAGCTGGGATAAAAGGGATGAGCTCTAAGTCAAGAGACCTCAAATGTACTTACCAAGGCCAGCTGTACCCACTGCTCTGCTGGCTGCTGTGGGGAATAACAAAGAACAGATGACATAGCCTCAGCCTCCAATACCAGGACATTCTTGTGGGTTCATAAAATAATGATCACTTAAATAAAACCAATGGAGTACAGGAAACAATGTGAGACTGCAGTAGTAAGTGCTCACTGCATGGTGGAGCCTCTGTCCTGCAGAAGACCAGACAGAGGTAACAAGAACTTGGGCTCAGAGGACGAGGGGGTCAAGAGGAAGTGGATTTGGGGAATGGCTGTGGAGAGGGTTGGAATGGCATGCAGGAGGAGAGTCTCAGGAGAGTGAGATGATACACACAGGAGCCCCCGTGGTTCAACTGATGACTCTTCACTGTATTTTTCCAGGGCGAGAGATGGTGGGGCCCACGCTGCCTGGATACCCACCCCACATCCCCACAAGTGGACAGGGCAGCTATGCCTCCTCTGCCATCGCAGGCATGGTGGCAGGTAAGGAGAGGGCCAGCAGGAGGGGGAGTATTGCAAAGAGGAAGTGTTGGAGCAAGGTGGGACATGAGGGGCAAGAGGCATACTATCCCCTATGCATAGTCTTCCCGAAGGGCATTGAAGGATGGACTGAAGGGGGCATCTTCTTGTAAATGCCTGGAGACAATGTCCCAGTGCAGTCTTGACTCCCTATTTAACCTGCCCCTGCTCAGCCTCCTTCTTCTCAAGTCTGCCGTCTGCCACATTACCCTCCATGATGAAAAGGGAGGGGCTGAGACAGACGTATGTTCAAATCCAAGCTCCACCACTTCTTCCAGTGAATCAGTGAACATAAAGGTAGACCGCTCTAAGGGCCCCAAAACACTGAGTGGAAGATGAGCCTGCCGTCAAGCAGAGCTGGTCTCCCAGTGATTTAAGTCTGATGAATCCCAGTTTTCTGCTTCTGTAAAATCTGAATCTAAAAGATATTGATGAGGATAATGATGAAATATATGCTTCATATCACTCTCACTCAACCCTGCATGGATAGCACCGGGTTCTAGGTACTCTGAGTTCTACAGACAATGAGATGAGCCTGGAGTAGCATTCCATCCTCTTTTGGACTGTCCGGGAACCTGCCTGCTAGTCATTTGGTTTTCTTTGTCTGCCACATTCAGTGATGAGTCAGGTTGACAATTCTGGACAAATGAAGATAATGGGAGTTCCTTTGAGCAAGTCTCATGTTTTTAAGAGCCATATAGGAAAGACTTTAGGATGGATGAGGCATAATAGAGCCATTTTCACTGGTCAGAAAGGCCTGGGACCTGGAGTTTCTGGAAAGAGCTCTGAACTCAAGGCATCTGTGACCCCCATGCCAGTCCTAGGCCAGCCTCTCTAGCTCTGACCCCAGAGATTTGGCTT